GCTTTCTTAAAATCTTACCGATGTCCATTCTTTCCTTCGCACATGCTTAGAAATTTGTGTGCAGGTGTATAAACATGGACATATGCATGTGCCTATGCATATTTTAATCAGTTTCTTCTTCAGTCCTACAGCCTTGTGCATGTCAGACTAGGAAAGGACTTCTGGAGAAGGTTGCTACCAAAGAGCAGTGAAACGCTTGCTTCATCGTGTACTTCCAAATTATTTTAATGCCTTCTTTATTTATGAGATGTTTCAAATTTCTGAACTCTATGATAACATTATACAGACAAATGTGCACTGAGGTCAAGACTGATTATTTTTTCACTGTGGTATTGTTTTTGAAGGTGATTTGACACTCAGTGTTAAGACAGGTCGTCCAGAGTGACAGGTTGGCGATGTTGCCTTTTGTGCAGTTAAGTCCTTGATTGTTGATCCTGGATTGAGAGTTTATAGAAACCACATGGAAATATCAGTTTATCCTGTTAAGTAAATTTTGGGTCCCAAACTTTTATTCATTATGAAACAGTATTTGTGTTAAAAGTAGACCTTGGGCTAATGAAAGAGTTTGGCTTCTGTAGCATGCCTATGACATTGCTTTCTTTGCACCAGAGACTTCTGTGAAGTGCTGGCTCTCTGTTTTGGTGACACTGGAAAGGGAACTCTCTCAAGAGAAGACCCCTAAGTCCAACTTATCATGGCAAAAATGCCAAAGCAGAATTTATATAGAAATTGGGGCTTCAAATTGGACTTATTTTTGTTCCCTGTGAAATTTTTTTTGATTAGTCGTAGTTGGGTACAGCTTGGATGCCCAGTCTTGTGAGAGATGGTGAGAGATGGTGAGAGACAGTAATAAATGGTCTTTTCTTACTGAGGATCTCAGGAAATCATGCAAGAGAAAACTCCCAGTATTTTCTTTTCACACCAAAAAGGATTTTTCTCACACATTAAAAAAAAAAAAAAAAAGAGATAGAATAAGGGTTATTTGATCCAGACATAAAGAGATACTCAAGTATCTTGTAGAGCATAGTCTAATTTTTGTTGTTTAATGATGGCTTTTCCCAGTGGAAATAAAATGAGAAATTATAGAAAAGAGATCTTGTAACAGCAGGGATGATAGACAGGAGAACTGGAGCTAACATTGGACTCAGAACAAAACTACCCAGTCAGGGATGCATTTGAGAAGGTAAGCTTCTCGCCATGGTACATGAGAGATTGGTGCTAAGTGTCCCCCTCTGCTTAGATGCCATCACAATTAGAATATGGCAGGAATGTGTTAATGCTGCAGACCATGCTCAGGCTTCAGGAGACAGTCACTCCTCTAAATCTTAAGTATAGAAATATTAGTACTACATATTACCAGCAAAGATCTGTAGAAAATTTCTAAGATACCTTGACTGAAAAGTCAGAATAGTCTTTTTCTTGCTGAATCAGACAGTTTATCTGTAAGGAAACAAACAAGTGCTGTAATAATGTAGGATGTCACATCTTCCTGCCATTAGCAGTGTTCTTTCTACCAGTTTGGATCCCCTAGCATAATAAATCTGAAGTTCATTAAGGGGAGTGGTAGGTCGGGATGCTTTTCATCCTTTACACATTATGGTCACTGTGGCCAGAGTTGTTACTTGTCCTTCTCCTTTGCCTGCTGAGGAAATTCAGCTCTATATGAATATTCTTGATTGTGTTCTGCTGGTATCACTATCTCCATAGTTTCAGCTCTTATTGGTACCCCTCTTATCAAAAGTAAAAATGCTGCTCAAAATTGGTTTTTGTTTTCTCAATCTCCCTCATTTCTTCTACTGTAATGCCACATATGTATTTTTTGTTAATGCTTTTCTGTCTTTAAGTCTGTGAAGCTGGCTTTGTGCAGAAACACCATGCCACAGCAACAGCCAGCAGTGGTGCAGTTGCTCCAGTGCTAAGCTGATAACACAGAGAGAGCTGAAGCATTTCTACTTTTGTGCTTTGAACTCGTTCTCAGAGCTGGTTTCCTGATTTGTCTCATTAGCACTGATTTGCTTTGTACTCTGAGTGCAATTGTTCATTTGGTAAGAGTTAGAGCAACTACATCTCCATTTTTCCCTAGCTTAAGCAAAGCAGAAGTAATGGCCACCTCTCCCTGGTTTTTCCTTGGCAAACTTCCCAGAAAGATGTGTTCTTAATTGTAATTTGCTCTCTGTGGTCAGCAGCAATATCTCATCTTTTAGTATCTCAACAGCACCACTGTATTTAACTCTGTGTGTGTCTGAGGCCTCACCTCATCTCATACAGAGTAACCCTCTATTCCAATTAGGCTGACTATATGCAGCAGAGATGTTCACATTTATTGTTTATACAATTAATTCCTCTGTCATTTGCTGCTTCAGCTGTTTTTCATGACTTAAAAAAAACCAAAACCCAAAAAATAACCCACTACTTTCTTTTGGAAAAATATCATCATTTTCTGGGGAAGTCTTTGTCTGTGCAGCTAGTGTATCTTACTAAAGCTGGTTTTGAATTTTAGGTAGACAAAAAATTTTCTGTCAAAACTCTTCAAAAGAAACCATGAATGTCCAGACCATAAATCCAGGAATGGCACAAAAGTGGGAATACAAGACCTGCAATATATAATATGAGTCTTTTAGTCCAACCTCCCCTATTTCCACCCTGGTGCAAAATATGCTGCTGACACCCTTTCAAGAAAAGGGGCTTGGACATAAGTGTTTTTGGCAGAGCAGCAGGCACTCTTTGTTTAGGCTTAGTTTCATTTCTGTAAATTTTCTTGATAATACATGAAAAAGAAATGTCAAGTTATTGTATTTGTCACTTTGGTGGTGAAGTTTGGCAAATATCAGATCATCTTAATAAAACATTGAATTTTAAAGCTAACACTTCAATGGAAAAATATCTTTCATATAAATAAAACTGACAATTTTCATTCCACTACATTTAATGCTCTTCAGGAACTCCTGTCCTGCATAAGAAAAATAAAACTTTCATCTGAAGTGCATTAATAACTGTTGTAAAGTAAGAAAGTATTTCCAAAATTTCTAACTTGCCTGCAACATTTGCATCAGCTAAGTCAGCAATACTTTGCTAGCCACTGTTGGATTGTATTTTCTGCAGGAGACAGATAACCAACCCTGTGTGTCCTGCAATGAGCCTTTCCCTACTGTTGGTCATGTGTAGTTTGTTTTTTTCATTTCTTGTACCTCAGGGAATGAAAGGAAAAGTGATACTGTTGAAAAAAGCCAAAGAAACAAATTCAGGTTGAGGTTTTTTTGTGTGTAAAAATAGGATGTTGATATTGAAATATTATTATCCATCTTTTGCAGATTTCATGTCTTTCACCTATCCCCATCTTTCCCATCCAGTTTTATAATTATGCTTGCTCATCTCCAAACTGAATTTTTGGGGAAGTGCGTGATTCGATTTTCTACTTTGAAGAGATAATCCATCCAGTTTTGTAAACAGCACCTCATAAGGACTTTGTGGCAGCTTCTGAAATATATTCCTGTGTTAATGACAGGACTTCTGGTTTTGAACTTCTATATGTATATGTATATGTAACTCTGCTTTATTTGGTAATACTTAACTAGGGATGATTGCTGATAAAAACATTGATTTAGCTTTACAGCAAATTTTTCAAGATCTCTTTTAGAATCTCTTTCTGTTGCCATTCAATGAATAGTTCAAGTACATTTTAAAGGCTTTTGTCTCAATGTTCTAGTTAATTCATTTAAAACTCATCTTTAATGAGTTTTAAAATATTTAATATTGGATATAAGTTGCTTCTGAAATCAAGTAGGTTTTGTTAATGTGATTAATTTCAATGTGTTTAGTATAGAGTGTCATTAAATAATGATGAATGTGTCACAGAGGAGTAATACACTTTATAATTTTTTTATAAGACCTAACATGCTGCCCCAATACATGTGGATTCCTAGCATCTAGATCTGATGCACATCCTGAGGGTAAGGACCCCATGTGCTACAAGTCAGACGTGGTGGGTCATGGCCCTGGGGTGGGGGTGCCCACAATGTCTGATTGAGCTCTGCTGTGCTGTGCCCTTCTTCTCCAGTGGCAGAGCCTCAGGTGGGAGGACCACAGCATCAGCTTTCCAGGGGAGCATCCTCTCCCTGGCCTCTCTGGGGGACACTTGCCCCTGGTCAGGACCCCCATGAGGCTGTCACCCCCCAGGGGATTGCACAGCTGTGCACTGCTGTGTCTGCCAGGCTGAGACCCCAACTCCAAGGTGAGGAGTTAATGCTGCTCTGGAGATGCTGTGGGCAGCTGATGGGGTCTCTGGTGTGGAGATGACCCTGAGGTGTTAGAAAGCCTCTTTTTCCCAGCCCTGAGACCGAAGAAGAAGACAGGATTCCTTGGCTCTTGTTCTCAAGGCTGTTTATTTGCTCTTATCTAATACATTGTGTTTCTGACCCTCTGAGGTCTGTCCAGCAGGTCGGGTTGAGGCACAGTGACTGCCCTCAGGGCAATGTTATCTTTTTATACTAAGAACTACGTGTACAATATTTACAATAACTTTCCAATACCTGTCAACTATGTTAGACAGTTTGTCCAATCAAAAAGTGCCACCATCACAGCAGAAGAGGGAGGACAAGAAGAAGAAGAAGGAGAAAGACAGGATATAACCAGATTCCTCCATCTTGCCTCTTGAACCCCCATTCTAAAAACCCCAAAATTCTACTTTTTCACCCTGTGATAAATTTACTATCATTCTATTCAAACCCTAGTGGCTTGCAACTCCTCGCACAAAGTTGGTAATTGTTTCCATGGGCTAAAATCGAACTCACAGTGTCTTTGACTCCATGCCCTGGTCTCTGAGCCCCCTGCCAGGGTCTCGACTCCTCCAGGGCAGTCAGAGGAATGTCCTGGGTTCTGACAGGCAGCATCACTGTGGGGCCAATCACAGCAACGTGATGAGAATTATAAATCTTCTCTGTGTTAGACCAGGTGGGATTTATAAAGTTTGTGAAGTTCTGCTTTTGTTTTTTCCATTCTAGGCCCTTCAGTGACCTTACTGTTGGCTGATTCCAGAGAGCCACCTCATTATTCCGACTTGAAACTTCTCCATCTCAAAAATCAGAGGTAAGGATCAAAGTATGGGGAGACAGTGGGATGAAATGTACCATGGTTATTATGATTATACTGGTCACTGTTAATATTAGAAGAGTAGATAATCTGTTCTTATATTCAGAAAGAATTAAATGCCATGAAACTACTGGAATTGTAACAATAGCATGAGGAATGCTGCTAAAATACCAGCATGACATGGCTTGAGTTAGAAGTATTATATTTTTTGCCACATGTTAGGAACCACTAACTCTGGTGGCTACTGTAACTTATTAAGAATTGTATGGGAATCTGTTTTCAATATCTGTGATTTAAAAATATCTTGGAATGAAACACTGGAAAAGAAAAAATATTTCCTGAAATCTGCCTCAGTGCCATTTTTTCACTGTCTAATTTCTGCTGTCCTGTTTTTTGGCATTTTTTTTTCTTTGTTGGTTCTTTTTTCTTTTTTTCTTTCTTTTCTTTTTTTTTTTTTTTTAACTATGATTTTATACACAATTTCATAATTTTCCTAAAGAGCTGACATTTATCAGAGGTCACATGCTGAAAATCACTAGTGTAGTTATACACGCTTTGTTTTATTTTCAAAGAACCAATTAAGCATTTCAAGGAGAATAATTCATCTTTCTGATTTCTGTAGAACAACATAGTAAGGAAACCTGAAGTGTTTTCCCTCTGCTTCTGCCATGTCTATATATTTTTTTTGCTAAGTATTTCAACATTATAGTTGAAAGGATTGGATTAAACATGCTAGGCTTTTACAGTTCCTATGGCCTCTACTTGAAGTGCATTAAACACTTAAATCTCAGCCTAACTAAACTGGAATGGATGCTTTAAAATAAGGATTATCTTCCATTTTGTAATAAGGAAAACTGTAGAGCTACAAATGTCATTGTGGCCACTTTTCTTCATAAAGAATGGGAAACAGCTTTAGTTCATGGATGGCATTGTTTCTGCCCTGTGGTCTTGAAAGCTCAATGAGAAGAACAGGATATCACTATTGACTCTAATTTTTAGCTTGGATACAGATTTCTTCTGTGGCTTAGAACAAGTTATTTCTTCCTCATATGTTTTAGCTTACCAGCTATATAAAACCTTTGAGGTGCATGTGCTTGCAAAAATGCTTTAAAGAGGTGAGGGGAAAGTTTAGAAGTTCTTTAAAAGAAGCTTCTGTGAGGTCTCAGTCTGCTTCCATATTTGTCAGTGAAAGTTTTACCACAGACTTAAGTGGCCTGACTTGGGTTAGAATAAATTTCATTTACATTAGTGACTTTATGAAGGTATTTGTATTAACAAGGCTTTTAGTCTCCCTGTCACCTCATTCAAATTAGAACTTGATTCTCCTGAGCTGCACTAAGAAGCATTCAGGAAATTAATTAATTGGCCTGATTTTTCTCCTTTCACCCACCTAAGAACATATGTTCTGTCATCCTCAAATCATATATAAGAAAGCTGCTCATACCTGAAATGTCACCATACTTAACTGGTTTTGTCTAAAGGTGGCAAGATCCAGAGTTTCTGAACCTCAAAAAAGAATGCTTTCAGACATTATTCCCTTTTTAAATAAGGGATTCTGGCCTCAAAATCATCACTGCCTTTAGATGTACTGTGGAAATAGGTGTGAGTCTATAGGCTGTAGATGATTCAGTAGGACTTGAAGGTTGGTTATCCCATCCTGAGAGCACTTTAGGCTTCCAGCAAGCTGTTCTGGTCAGGAGGTGAGGAACAGCAGGGTGTTCTAGCACCCATGGGTGCTTCTGAAACTGATATTGCCAGATTGTCCCTGATGGGGCCTGACAGCTTCAGCATCTGCATGGGTCTGTGCTCTGGTGGTGAGCTGATTATCTTTGCTGATTGATCCTGGGGGTCCCATACACCAGATGGCTCTCTCAGGTGTGTGGTGGAGGGCCTTGTTGCTTTGCAAGGCTCAGGTGGGTGGCTTGTGTGGCCAGAAGTTTGGCCATATACAGATTGTCCTTACTTGCTTCCTCAAGGTCACTGTGCTCAACTTCTCATTGAGCTTACTCTGGCCTGTGCTTCAATCTTCTAGAGCAGATAGGACCTGAATGATAACAGACAGCAGCCCAGGAGCATGAGGTTTCCTGCTGTCCTAATGGCCATGGAAATATTTCATGCAGGACTGACTTCAAAGTGCTTTTCTCTAGACTGCACATCAGTGCAGCTGTACCTGAGAGAACAGCTCCATCAAAGAGCAGGTTTGTCTGTCTCCCTCTATCAAAGCCTGCAGTTACATGTTCCAGGTACACATTTACCAATGTTGCATCCTTCAGCATCCTCCAATTATGATCCAGTGGGAGAGACAAATCTAAATGCAAAACCAGATATCCCAGCAAGTGCAAACTTTTCTCCAAGTCAGCAGGTGTCTAGTGGCTCTTCAACACAGGAACAATATTGCCAGGGGTTTGTATATAGTAGTAATGCTTAGCAGCAAATTATCAAGTAGACAGATGGAGGCACAATAAGAAAACTTGCAAGTATTCTTCTGATTTGGGAAATTTTATCCTCACTGTCAGGAAAACAATTCTCCTAGATGGACCTGATAGCATAAAAGCACTGTAATTTTAGTTATGTTATTTTGGACATCAGAACTTCAAAACCTAAAATGATGTGGGGTGTTGCAACAAATGTGTATGCAGAATTTGGTCTTGTGGCTTCACAGAATTACTCAAACTTCCTTTATTTAAGAAAACAACCACATTTCTCACATCTTAAAAGTGACAGTCCTACAGTGAAAAGAAGAACTAAGAGTTCCTTGAACACCCTGTTCCCAATGCATGTGCAGGGGTTAAAGGGTTCACAGCTCAGAGGAAATGGCATGGTGGCTAAAAGCTACCTGGGGAAGGTCAGCTCTGAAGCAATTGTGAGTTTTTTTATTCAGTGGTCATAATACTGCTTCTCTAAAACCACTTATTTAATTGTGACTACAAGGGTTGAATGGCCAGATTAAGCAGCTCTTTTAGAATTGGAATTGGCTGAGTAGCTTTTCATGGGTGGAACTGAACTAGAGAAATGGTCAAAAACATTTGAATGGTCTTGGCACATTTGGTACTGTGTAACTACTGACAAAATGTAAACAATTACATGGTAACTAGAAAGATGCATGCCAGGTTAGTAGTGTGAGAATGCCTCAGCAAATTAGACTAATGGGACAAATTCTGGTACAGCTCCCACTAGTCATCTGAGCCTGCTTGATGGGAATGTGATGTGTCTGGAAGCTTGAGCAAACACAGTCTGACCCAAGCGCTCATCCTGTTAAAAGAAAAGACTCCCAGAGTCGTACAATCCTGATCCAGTTTTCTGTGTGTTCATGCATCCTGTTTTCTGAGCCATGAAGCTGCAATGACCAGTCCCTTGCAGTCAGTTGTTCAAAGACAGGATAAACATGTGTTTAGAGGAATTTGCAGAAGCTATCAGAAGCTCAATACTTTGGATGTAATTAGCATTTTGTGAAAATCCAACCCAGGGCTAAGTCTACCAGAGAATTTCTGTGTTCTAATGCACCCAGTAGAATTTATCCAGAAAAGATGTACTATACTGTGCCAAGGACCATGACTGGGTACCTTGGGAGGGAATGTACAGAACTCTGCACATACCAAGGAAGAACCTGTTAGTGGGTAGGAATTGTTTGGAGGAAAGGTGGACTTAGCTCACTTTACCATTTCCTGCATTCAGGTTGCAGTTCAGCCTCCTTTATTTCAGGGTCCTCAGCCATGAACTGAGTGACACAGCTTGGTGCTGCATGGCTAAGAGTCTGCTGTAGGTATCCAATGTAGAAACAGCTTCCCAAAGCATTTTAGCCACTTTTAGATCACCCATCAGCTCCTAAAAGTACTTCCTTTTCAAAAATGGCAATTCACAGCCTACTGTCCTTTTCTCCAAGTTGTCTTTATTCCCTTTGAAACAAATCTCTCCTTCCTTGTCTTTACTTAAGTGTCTTGGGGTGGTTACAAAGACACCAGCCTCCCAACACAGTGACATTACTGATTCTAATGTACTCTGCAATTTCTTTGCCCTCTAGAGTCAGTCTCTCACACTGTTGTCTCAACAATCAGTGTCATTCTCTTTTGCAGCACTGATATTTTTCAGCTCTACAAACTCTTACATTTTCTAGAATGATGAAAGCTTCACATAATCTGCTACTATAACAATTTATACAACATAATCCATGAGAATATACATAATGAGAAAGGAGTACTTTAGTCTTGTTTATGCTCTTTTATGGTTATATGCTGAAGTACTGTAACTGGTTTTAGATACTTGTTTTAAAAAATTGTCTGAATCTTGAGCTATGTAAGAAAATTGATGGTAGGCTTGCAAATAAGGCCCATGGTATGCTGTTGAGATTAATTCAATCATGTTAATTCCAGGAAGTTTAAAGTAACCTCTTATTGTCTGAAATAGAGAGACAATGACAATGAGATTATATTTGATTATTCTCATTAGTTAAGCAAGTAAGCAAGAAGTGGCTCGAAGCATTGTGAGGAAAAAATTAGAATTATATATCAGGGAAAAGTTTATAAACATTAGAACTCACAGCCAAGGAAACCAGCTGACAAATGAACCTTTGGAATCAGCACTGCTAAAGATATTCAGGGCTCAGCTAGACATCCATCCATCAAAAAAGGATAAAGAAATCAGTCCAGCCACAATGTAGGGATAATACAAGAAAGTTTCCTGACAAATTTCTACTCCAAATAATGTATGATTTAGTTGGAATGGAAAAGGAGAGCACTTTGGCTTGCTAGAGCTTTCACTGATAAAATTTACTTTATGGTAACCGAAGTGTGTAGGTTTTGCTCTAGTTTCAGACACACAGACTCTAGCTTAGAATGTTTTTATTTTTTTTAATTTAAAAAAATTGATATCTTTAGAATAAAAAAAATCTCTTAGAATGAAAAAATTGTTTCACAACATCTTTTTTCACAGAAATTTTCCAGATGTGGTCAGATTACTCATACCAAGCCTGAGGAAAAACTGTCAGTAAGGTATTTATTTTTTGCAGGCTTAATTAGAGGTATGAAGGCTGGTAAGACTGGAGGGTTAGGATAATAGGGTTATAAAAGCATGGTTAGCTTTTTACCTGTCTGTCAAAGCTTCCAATACAGGCCAAGATGGATATTTCCCATTCATTACTCTGAGTTACTGTTCAGCTGGGTGGTAATGACCTGCTTCTAGTGGGTAGGCAGGCAACACTCATACAGTGGAGAGTTCAAGACTAAACTGAGCTGGCAGACTGAGACTGCTGCTCATCAAAAGCTGGGGTTCAGATTTTTAAGCGTGTCTTGACATTCAAGCAGTTGCCTCTTGCAGTTTTGAGGCATTTGAAAACAGTCATCTTGAGGTGAAGTAAGCACAGTTAAGACACCTAAGCTCTTTACAGAAAGCTAAATATACATTTATCTGGAACACTGAACACCTTAAAAATTGTAACCTAGCACCCTCACCAAGTTTTCCATGAAAGTCTGATTCACCACTTTTCCATGCAGCCTCAGTAAGTGTCTGATTGCCCCATTGTTTATCCCAGCACATGCTGTAAAGGAGAAGATGGATGGCGGCGCGCTGGCTTTCAAGTGCTCTGCTGCAAGCACAGTCTCCTTTCAGGGCAATGTCTTCTAAAGCATCAGTCATATCAGAGAGACCAGCCTGGCACAGAGATGAAGCAGATACAGTTTTAAAGAGGCTGTTTCAGAAATAGAATTAGATTTAAATAACAAATGAAGCTTCACACTGAGTACTGAGTTTCTACAGATGTAACACAAAATTCAATATTTTCAAGCCATAAATACCTTGCATTCCCTAATTTATACTGTAAAAATTAGTGCTTATTTCTAAGATATGCTGTAGAGTTGATCAAAAGCAAGCCTGCCGTGTTATCACTGCATTATGAAAATGTCACATGATGTAGGGAAGGGAAGTATGAATATCTGCTATCTGATGTATATGATTGAAAAGGGAAATCACAGAGTGAAATCATCAAGCCACATTAGCCAAAGAGAACAGATAAGTAAGGGTATAACACTGGAACTGTAAACAATCAAGCAGAGATTACACCTGTGTGGAATTGTGCATGTTTTTTACAAGTGACCTAAAATGTTGGCAGTAGAAAATTAAAAAAATCTAGCATTGCTTATCAAAAGAAATTTTCAAAATGCTATATGGATAGGAAAATAATAATTAATGTGTATTAAAATAATGCTATTTTTGGGTGTCAGTTGAAACTTCTCTACAAATGACACAACTTAGAAGCAAGGAAATTAATTGTCCTGGGCTCTGATTTGGCTCAGGTACATATGTGCATTTTCTGCCTTTCCACCCAGCTTCTGGCCACAGCTGTGCTGGCATCCCCAGCTGTGTCCCACAGCTCTCACTGCTGCCCTGCCAGCATGGCCTGGCACCCAGCACACCCTTCTCAACCAACACAGGCAGCAGCTCAGGCATGTGCTGATCATCTCCTCTCTCTTCCCTTTTGAATGTTTCTGTGAAACCACACGTGCTCGAGTTTGTAAATATGGACTCCAGATAAAACTCTAGAAACATTCACCATCAGAAAACTTGCCTTTAAATGTGTCAGAGTCTCTATTTGCTGTGCTCCTTCCCCCTCCACCATTGGGAAACCACAATGACAGGAAGAGTGCACCATTTCCTCCAAAGAGACCCATTGCTGCTAGAATCTGCTCTTTCAGTGTGCACGCACTTTCAGCTGCACAAAATGTGGGACTGCCCTGCACATTATAAGTCAATGAAATAGGACATTTTGGTAGAGGAAATAGTCAAATTAGGTTATCACAAAACAAGAGCTTTTATAGTTGACTGTTCAGGCAGTGCTGCTGACTGCTGAGCTGGCTCTTAGTAAGAATGTGCAAGTTGTGCTATTTTTACTTGCTACTTGTCTAGTACTGGACTTGTTTGGAATAATTCATTCTTGCATATAGAGGTATATATCTAGCAACAAGAATTTAGAGGAATTTTCTGTAGCTAACAGAATTGTCACAAGAATTCATTGAGAAGGAAGAGAGAATACCATGCTAAAGGAAGCTTTGAGTGGACTTTAGAAAAAAGGCCCAAATACATTTGATATTCGCCTCAAAATACTTACATTTTTGCCTATGAAAAGCACATTTCATTACCCTTGTCATGCCACTTCATAACTTCTTGTTAACTTGTTGGACTTCACCCACTCATCTAGTTCAGTGGTTTTTATTCCCTGGTTTTCAGCCACTACCCTTTCCCCGCTTTCAGTCTTTGCAGTTTGCACTCAGACACCATCTGGCTTCACCCCCGGGGTTTCCTAGACAAGGACAATCTAGTTAGCCTTGTGAAATCCAAACCTCAGGCAAAACAAAAACTGTAGAAAACTTCCACAAGACAGGCTTTGTCACTACTCTGTGAGGGGCAGCTCCATTACCCAGAGAAGCTGTTAGAACAGAAATCACACCTTAAGCACCAGGTTATCTTCTCATCCATCCTACTCTTTTGCCCAAACTTTTCCTTTCAATTTACTGCAATTACTGCCAGTCTTTTCTGGTCAAAAGAAAGTTTTACCACTGTGTGTGTACTTACAGAACTTCTGAGTAGAACATCATGTAAGAAACTCTTTGTAAAATGCTTGGAGTAAAGTAGATTAAGAACAGATTTACTAAAGAAATTAGGAAGTCTTTCCAGTGTTCTTTTCTGTTCTAAATAACATAGTGAAAATAAATCTCTGAGGCAAGATTCTGGACAAAGTCATTCCTTTGAAAAGAGACCACAAGATTCCTGGTCTTCTTAATGGAGAAAGCAGAAAGAATTGGTCTTGGTTTGGGACTCTCAAAATGCTGATCCTTTTGAACAATGTGGACAAGTACAGAATGTTGTCCAATGTATTCATCCTTGAACAGAAAGAAATCAAATTACTCTGTGCTCTGACTGTCTCATAGGAGCAGAAAAAGAAAAGAACCCCTCCCTTTCTTTTTTATGCTTGCTATGCTCCAAGATTTCTAAATGAATTTGTTCGGGCAAGACATTTTGATGTGTGCATCTGTTTTGCCCTGAGAAATCATGATCCAGTTGCACAGTTCAGTGGTTTTGAGCCAGATATTCTTTTATTTCAGGTTTTGGAAATCTAAAGTCAGTAGGCAAATGCCAATCTCTATGGGTGCATTTCACTAGTGATGGCTACAGAGTGAAGACTGAGGTAAGTTCTTCACAGTAACACATCCATCTTCACATCCATCCATCCCAACTTCTAACCTCCTTCTTGTAACCACCCAACTTCTAGATTTCTGTTTTTCATTGTTGTATTCTGTTATCTCTCCTGACTTGACAGTTACTCCTGTGTGTCTTCACAGGAAGAATGCACATCACAGTCCTGCTCTGACAACATAGGCCCAGGGAAATGAAAAAGAGCAATTTTTCCATTATTGTAAACTGCAAAAAGGTAAAAATACAATCATCCCTTTCTCTGTTTGGTACTCAGAGGATTGAAGGGGAGAGCATATGAAACAGTGGCTGCGTACCAGTGATATAGATGTTAACTTCCAATCTTGTCAAATGTCCTGTGAAAAGCAGCTTATATTGCTGTCTACCCCTAATAGAACTGAGGTTGCATGATACATAGATGATAACAGACTCTCATGTAAGAAGTAGGTAGCATATTAAATACTCTTTTTTGCTTTACAGTGTTTCCCAGTGAAAACCACAATTTCACTTTGGTTTGATGAGCATGCTGTGATGCCATTGTGGTAGGTCTACCTTTTGTAATGATTGAAGAGTAGAAGTAGACTGTGTACTGGTAGCAGGGAGCAATGTCTGATACCAATTATTTCAAATTTTGCAGTCTAGAACTGGGTTTTTGTTATATTTTGAGGTTTATTCAAAATGGTGGCCTTTCCAGTCAGCAGATATAAGTCTTGCCAGTGTTCTTGTGTCAGTTATTTATAAACGATCATAGAAGGGAGACCTTTAAAGGCTGTGAGATATAAATCAGCAATCTCTGTTTCTAATCACAGTGGATGCACAGGTTCCTTTTGAGCCGTAATGAAGAAGTTTGGAGCTGGAGACTACAAATATTTGAAGTAATTTTGATGTTAATTTTTCAAATTTCCAAGGTATCTAAGATGTGGCTAATAATAATAGCAGGCGTTGTCTGTTTCTCCCAGCATGTGGCATGAAAGTGGCGTGGTCACAGAGCTGTGCATTATTTACATGGTGTCAACATGTCAGCAAGTGGTGTGGCAGCGAGCCAGATTAAATCACTTCTGATTTTAAATACAGGACACTGAATAATAACAACGTTGTGTCACACTTGAGGACACTGGAATCTGGCAAATCAGCAGCAGCTCAGTGTATCAAGCTCATTTGGATGGCTTCTTCCCTTCCTGAATGAACATAGAATCAAACTCAAGGTTCAAGGAAACTGTACAAAGTTGGGATTTTTTTATTTCCTTCCAAAGCAAAAGATTGTACCCAGGAAACGGACACTTTTTGTTTGCTTTCTATAAAGATGTGTCATGAGGTCACTGCCCTCATGCAGGAATGTTTGCACCTGAGAATGGGCAATGGTGCATGCATGGTGCATGTTTGACATTAATCTTTGTTGTCTCTGTAAGGGGCAAGTCTGGTATGGTTACGTTCATCCATTAGTTTTTTTGCAGAATCTACTGCAACAGATCCACCATCTCCAACAGGAAGTGTATTTTTAAGAGGCAAACACATCATGTAGGATAGGGGCTTTGAGGGTTTGAGGTCTTCCAAGAAAATCTTGGGTGCTGCTCTCAATCATTGTTTCTGCACCAGCTCTGATTTCTGTATAACCCCTGGAGCTGGCTCACCTGGCCAGCTGGTAGGAAACCAATTCAGCAAAATAAAAACATGGATAGCTTTCTGTTGGTTTAGTAATCCAATTACATTCATCAAGGAGCCATGTGAAAATCAGGAAGTGGAAGGGTAGGAACGGGCCTGCGTGTCAGGGAAGAAAGGATGCAAGGGAAGTAGAGGGAGCAGAACTGTTGGATAAATGTTACCATAATGTGAAATCTCACCCTAGAATATTTAATGGACGGGGAGGGAGCTTTTAGAAGGTTAAAAGAAGCATCCAAAATACTGGGAATCATTTTGCCTTGTCACCATAATACCCTTTTTATGAAGCTAGAAATATGTATGCTCATAAAAACCCTTTGCTTTTCTTATTTTAAAATATAAGGCAACCATTGGAGTCTGTGCACAGTTCTTTCAAGTTAAATGCTTAGTTCAACATTCCACTTCCATTTCCTGGTAGAAAATGTTTTATATGAAAGCAACTTTAACCTTTCAGAAGGGTTCATTTACTGTTACGTTTGGTATCAGCTTTCCAAAAAATGCAGTCTGTGTTTGGCGTATTACAGATTCTGGTTTTAATAGTGGTTTAGGGGAAAAAAGTCATATGGCATAATTCAGAAATAAAATACTGCAACAGAATTCTCCCTATGACATGAATGCACCCCATGAGCGAGTGGTTTAAAGTCAGTGTGATCACTTAAAGCCAAGACATGGGCTCAAGCTATCTATGAACCAGCTGGTAACAAATAACACATTCAACTCTCAGTCACAGGAAACTGTTAGGTTGCCTTTTTATAGACAACTACAGCTCTGCAGCTCCTGAAACACAGGGGAATATCATAGGGACTTGGAAAGAATTGAACACCTACCATATGCACATAAAGAAGGGCAATAAAGATGAAAGGCCAGAACTGAGCTTTAATTTCTATTTTTCTTCTTTTGATTTATCATCTGCTTCTGCATTGCTCCAATTTTCTTTGGCCTAAAATTAGGGAGAAGATGCTTGAATTGCTTAGTTTGATCAAATCAGTCAAACTAAGGCATCCATTTCACCAGTGTAACAGATGCTAAACATGAAACTTTAAAGTACATTATTGCTTTCTTTATGTCTTTATTGTGCATTCATTTTTGAAGTGCTGACTGCTGTAACAATCCCCTGCAGTGGGCAGTTCCTGGGCATGGGTTGCTGTGGTCATGGTGAGATGGGCATTAAGCTGGTAGAGCTGTATCAAGGTGACTCTGAATTAGAGTGAGGGCTGACTACTTGGGTGCAGGGCCATATAAACAGATCTGAGTCTCAGACTCAGGACTATCTCAGCTGGCAGGTTGGCTCAGGAGTCACTGCACCGTGGTTCCTTGCCACGTACAGATGTATTCTGGGAGTTATCCTCCACAGGAATTCTGCTGTCAATAACCACTTCTTACAGAAGAAAAGGACCTTCAGACAGGCCTAGCCATGAGTGAGACAATAAAGGCTAATCCTCTGTGCTGCTGAGCCTCAGCTTCTAATAAAGGACCCAGAACTTGTAAGCATAAAGCTTCAAAGTACAGATCTGCAGAGGGAGGGCAGATAAGGGGGCTGTAGCCCACCCATCAAGACCACCTGGTCTTAATAAATGGTAGCAGTCAGCCTTTGTGCCATACGCTCTTTCCATATCCTACCCTTCTTCCAGGGAGTGGGATTTCCAAGAATGCTGCTGGCAATGTATGTGTCAAAGTCGGGTGCACTGCAGAGTCTGCCAGTCACACACAATGGTTCTTGTCACCTCTGGAACTGCAGCAGCTGAATCTGACCGTGATGCTCAGAAGCTGAACCTTAGTAAAATAACACTGAGGATATTTAATATCTGATGATGGATGCACGTCCAATACTTTGAAGATGGAAAGATCTGCAAAAATGCAGACTATTATTTTATCTGGAAATGTTTTCTGTGGCATCCCAAAGAGTATTCACATTTCTTATTCCTTTTTTGTGCATGTACAGCTCTCATGAACTTTCAGCTATGAATCCGTATGGGAATAATTTCATTGTGAGAAGGTGGCTTCCATTCTATCCTGAAAAAAAGCTGCATGCAAATCACAGAAAGCTACAGAAGAAAGTACCAGTCATTGTTTGAAAGCATTGTGGCCTATGGAGATGGAAAACAGAACATGAATTTGCCTCCAAATTTTATAAGCTTCTAGAAACATGAATGAATGAGAAACAAATGCAAAAATTCGCTTAAAAATAAAATCTCAAAACCTTGTTGCTTTTACAATGAACAGACCTGGCAAAAAGGGTTAATTATCTTGAGTATCAGTGTAAAAACAGGTAGTGCTCTTCCAGGTATTTTTTGGTTGCCAGCTAGATTAGTGTTAGTTGCTAACAGTGAAGTTATCAGCCATTGGAACAAATGATGAAGAGGAGCAGTGAGTTTACCATTTCTTGAAGTCTGCAAACTGAGAGGGGTTGGTATGCCTCAGCACACAATGGATACACAGCTGGGTGAAATTATATTGTTGTGCTACAGAGAAGTACATGAAATATTCTATGTTGTCCTTTCTAGCTTTAAGAGCCATAGTCTATAATTTCAGAAAGATATTACAAAGAACTCTAATAAGTAGTGATAACCACAGCACTAATCTGAATGCATCTTCTGATTTTGGGTTGATTATGCCAAAGTATTAAAAAAATTACAGATTTTAATTTTAATAATTAATTGTTTCTATGTGTTTCTGTCACAAAACCTCGTATTACTAGCATTATTTTGCAATATTGGAAATTTGGTTTTGAGGACTAAAGAGACCCTTCCTCTTGCCAGAAGAGCAGAATGTACTTTAGTTCATGAAAGTGTGTATAAACATGTAAGCATGCAGGCTACTGTTTCCTGACCTGATCTATTGCAGTCAATAAAATCAATAAACTAGACTCATTCAGTGAAATAAAAGACATCTCATGAAGAAAATCTGAGGATATTTCTCATTATTGTAGATGATTTTTTAATCTAAACTTCCATTTTCTTCTCCTTGCAGGATAGCATAACACACTGTTTAAAAGAAGATTTTTTCCCTACAGCAGCCCTCCAGTTGAAAACAGTTTTTTTACTCCCTCCAGATTTCAAGAATTTTGTGACATCAGGCACTGCAGAAACCTAAATTCAGTGGGCCAGTTGAAAGTTTGGTAAAAATGTGCCTGACTGAACAGCTGGACATGAGAAGAACTAGTTCTTCAATACTGATTGGGTTTGGCAGCAGAGCTAGGCCTGCATAGTTGGGATGTCCTTGGTAATCCTAGAAGAACTGAAAAAACATCATGGTACAGCTTTTCAACCATTTCAGGGAAAGCTGATGACTTTGTATCCAAAATGGATATGCATAGTTCCAGAGGGAGTTTTTTAAGGCTTTAGATTGTAGTCAGTGGCAAAGTTACCTTTGTGTCTGTGTCTAAACTCCCTTAGTGGCCATCTCCTTCTAGATATGTATGTTGTGCCTAAGCAAATATCTCAGCTGTCCCTCAGGTGGAGGGCTGTCATCAAGGCTTGCTTTAGCCAACACACTCTGTCAGTCAGATACAGTGATGGGACCACAATATGAAAAAACCCACAGGAAATTTGATAGTTTGTCCTATAGAAGCACTCAGATTGCTTTATCAAGCAGTCTTTTCTGGTCTTAAGTTTGATACATTTATAACCTGAGCTGATTCAAGTAAGTCCAACTTTCTCTTGTTACTCTACTTTGTGCTTTTCTGAGAAGATGATTGGAAAAGATGGATGCTGAAAAAGAGGAGTTCAACATCTAACTGATCTTAAGTTTTTCAGATATATTATCCTTTAAAAAAACCCCACAGCCCAGTTTGCCATAATAGTTCCAGCATCAAGTCAGTAATCGATTTTCCATGCACTGGCCATAGTAAAATATAGGTGTATATATTTAATGCTTTGATTTTGTTAATCTAAAATAACAGTTTGGGGTTATTTTGGTTGAAATAACTCCTCCAATTTGGTCCCCTAAGGGCTAACTGTGCAGTTTTTGTCCAACAAAAGCATGATAATATAAAAGAAATTAAAAAGGTCTCTAAACATTTAAAAGGTTGGCGAACTAGACTATATTTCCATTCATCAGGGGATTCACAAAAGTAATTTTTGAGCTGCACTGCAAGGAAACTGGGAAGAGCTTGAACTGCTAATGTTCCCTTTGCTGTGTGGGTACACAGAACAGTTTTCTTGTCCTACAAGTATTCTGTTGATTTTGAAATTTTAGGCCTGGCGTGGGACTCAGTGAATACATGAGTGACTTAAGAAACAAACAAACATATTTCATTTTAATGGTGATCCCTTTTTTCTTTTTTTAACCTTTTAATATAAACTAAATTAGGTTTATATAAAGGTTGAAAAGATGCTTTCAACCGCAAACCCAAGAGTTTTTGTTTTGTGAATGTTGAAATGACACATTTCTAGAATTTCAAAATCTGGGGCTTTTCCTTTTTTTTTTTTTTTTTTTTGAGGACAGGAAGTTCTTCTGGGAATAATTTCAGTTTTGATGAATTGTCAGTTGTGACCATGTCTCTTCTTATGAAGAAACCCTGTGTTCACTTCCAACTCTAAACCCAGGCTCCCAATACTTTCCAGAAGTCTAAGGTATGACCACCTTAGTTGCTTTACTGATGCATTATAATGAGACATAGATTTTGGGCAACTGTCTTTATTCACTGGTGCAGTAAGACAACAGTGAGAGCGGTCTGATATTATTTGAGATTCTTCTTTTTCTGCATCTGCTTGAGATCGGAATAATTCTGTGATTTGTATTCCTAAATTCCACGTATATGATGTTTCATGTCACTTTTTGGTTCACGATTTGTAAACAAATAGATAAAAGTTACATATGTGCTAGAAATTAATTTCTTTAACAGGCTCCCCAGGGCATGGTCACAGCACCAGGCCTGACAGAATTCAAGAAGCATTTGGACAATGCTCTCAGGCACATGCTGACTCTTGGGGGTGGTCCTGTGCAGGGCTAAGAGTTGGATTTGGTGATCCTTGTGGGTCCCTTCTAACCCAGCTTATTCTATGATTCCTCAAGGTAGATGTGCTGTCTGTCCCATGTTCTCAGGGATGAATCACACTTCTGATGAAAGCAGGTATTGGAAACTGCCCATTTAAGTACAGGTTCATAGCTTTTTCAGACTTGAAAATATCTCTACTGTGTTGTTTCAGTCTTAGGTGAGAAAGAACTAAAAATAACTAAAGTAGTTATGAAATTTAGCTAATAAGCTATATCACAAGTTTTCCATTAAAAATGGTGAAGGCAGTGTGTAGGAATTCCTGTATTCTCTGGGATTTCTGGTGCATTAATCAGTCACAGTAAGTTCCAGCACAACCCATTCTGAAGCTCCAACAGTATCAAGGATGCACTTGTAGATATATTTGCATTCTCAGGTTTCTCTTTACTTTCTCTTTTAATTTCTTCTCTTTCAAGTAAAGTTTTGAAATAATAACAAGTAGGCTGAGGTCCTTTTAGAGTCTGATTAACATTGCCTCTGGGATCAAGATGTCTTCACTGCTAGACAGCTGAAAGGAAATGCATTGTCTCCACTGAAATGTCTGTATATCCTGAGGAGGATATATTTATTGTGAGAACTCTTCTGGGCTGGAGGAATTAACAGTGGTCTCTGCAAACCATCAGCACTTCTCTGTAGTCCCAGAGAGGAATGATGCCTCATGATGCATCTTTTTCCAATAGTTTTGAAAGATCTATTCCATGATCCTTCCAGCTTTGGAAACCAGAGGTCTTTTCTGTTTTCTGTGCCAAGACCTCCTTCCAGCCATATTGCACACGGGCAATGCCTGAAGAGCAGCTAGTGGAATATCCCATTAGGCTAATACAAGACAAGATGAAATGCCCTGCTCCTATACCAGCCTTCTTTGTCACAGAGCACTCTGTATTTCATCCCTTGCTGTCTGTGCTAATCAGTAGCACCCTTTTGCTAACCAGTTCATTTTGCATTGTTTCAAATCCCAAATTTGAAGCATAACACCAGTGTTATTTTTGGGCTGACTGAGCGCTAGGCATTGTAGAAGATCAATGGAGAGATTTTGGTGATAGAGTAGGGACCAACAGGGGTGTGTGGTGCTTGCTGCCCTTTGCACCTGGAGTTTCCACAGGAGGCAGGGCTGTGCTCCTCTTTCTGTCAGGCACAAGCAGCTTGTGTTTGAAGGCACAGGAGATTTTGTTTTCCTGCTCCTCTCATCCCCATGAAAGTGATTAACTGCACTTTCATTTTGAAACTGAAAAGGAAGCATCTCGGCTTGTGGTTCTGCCACTAAAATTTGGTTCAATGGCAATTCTTGTTTCTGAATCCTGACAATCATTTGATTTTGCAGATGTGTGATTTTGTATCTGCAGACACAGGAAAATTTCAGCAGCTATTATCTGACACCAGTTTTACTCTCTCTCTTCAAGTCTGTGTAATAAGTTCTTCTCTATAAAAAGAAGAATGCTTCTTGTACACAGTTGTATGGCAATTTAAAAAAGGCAATTGTTTGGAGGCTAATAGTAATTTTACTGCATTATCTGCTTGGCCTGGTTACAGCTGACTCCTGGCATGTTCTGAATCTACAGCTACATAAAATAAGTGATTGAAGTCATAGAAACCTTGTTGAAAATAATATTGTCTCTGAACATCAAAAAACCTCTCATAAGCCTAGTCTTAGTACCAAACTTCTATTTTGATCTGATATAGGTCTCACTGTTCAAAACCTCAACTGTGAATTCTCACTTTTGGTTCAGAATTAGGTTTGGTTGTTGCAACCTCATCCTGTCATTGCCTTGCTCAAATAATATATAAAATATTGTATAAATACTTATGCACGATTGTTGTCAATAGATTAAATGCATCCCAAAAATTGGAATAGTATGCTATAATCATAGAATGGCTTGGGTTGGAAGGGACCTTAAAGATAATTCAGTTCTATTTCAGAATACAATTAAATGACTTTATAAGTCTAGAAGGCATATAACATTTTACATTTTGATACAAGTATCAGCCAGAAGAAGGGGCAGTGCTGATAAATAATATTAATAGTTAGGCTTAATCCTTCATTAGCAGAAGCACTTGATTCCAAATAACTTTATATTGGCTACATTCACTAAGAAATTATGCTCTTGACTGTTTCAGATATTTGAAAAATCTTATATATATATATATATATATATATATATATATATATATATATAGTACAAGCTGAATACAAGCCCTTTCTGTTATTAGGAAATGTAAAATTGATACCTGAAGAAAGACCTAGTGTTTATGCTTTGTTATTCAAACAAAGACACTTACTATCATAGACTGGTCCTAACCTGACTTCATCCTACCTCAGGTCCTGCCTTCAGCTTAAATTCTTGCAAGGCAGCTTAGGATTTTGAGTGAAGAAACCTGTTCGTAATGCAGCTATGAAGGGCAGCATTTCACAGTGACTCATAAGAAGAGATTTATTATGTACTTAGGAGATGTTACTTCTATGCATATTTTGCAAAACTGTAGGGAAATAAGTAGCCTTCTGTCCCCTTCCCCCTGCAGCAAAGAAATTTGACAGCTGTGAATGGAACAGACTGAAGCCATTTAGAGATGGATGTTTAAATTGTACAGCATTGATGGGATTGTTTAATAAGTATTCTCTCTTTTTCTTTCATTACATGAGGTTTTGCTTTTCTTGGATCACACAGATTCTTGTAAAAATGTAACAAGCTACTATTCTGAATATGCCAAATAAGAAACAGATGGATCTCTTTAAAGAATAGTCTATCAGTAATATTAATGGGATCCCATGTTGAGGAACCAGGCACCTCCCTTTCCTTACGCCAGCCTTCTTGGCCTGAACAAAGAGGCTCTTCTAACAATGACTTGCACATGGCAAAGGAGAAGAAGGAGGTTTTGGTAGCTGCAATATAAAACATGACATTTTTTTTC